TTCCATCCATGGAGTATGGTGAACCAAGCGATACAACGAGAGTGATGTTCAATGTTCAAACGGCGGTACCAGTGGTCCGGCCTCCTCCTAAACCACTGCCATGAGGTGAGCTTGTGTCTAGGGCGGTTTGGAAAAAGAAGATTCAAGTTTGCTTTATTTTTATTTCAAGTTTTATTTTTCTTTCATTAGATACACTACAAAAAATCAGGGTCGTTGTCACGGACCGTAGTGTTAAAAATCCGTGACAAAACAATTTTGTCACGGACGGAATCCATGCATGACTAAACGGGCGTGGCTAACTTTTGTCACGGACAGGGATCCGTGACAAGCTTTGTCACGGACTAGTCACGGCCCGTAACCGTGACGAAATAGTCACCGGAGTTGCTATTCCGCCACATTGGTCACGGATTTATCCGTGACAAACTTTAAAAAAAATCTGTCACATTAGTCACGGACTCGTCCGTGACAACATTGTTTTTAAAAAATTTTGGATGTATATCCGAAATACAACAGGCGGGGAAATTCGAAATTTTCAACATTTTTTTTAAAAAAAGTTGAATATATATCCGAAATACAACAGGCGGGGAAATTTTCAAAATTTTTCAAAGTTTGCCACGGAACTAATCCGTGACAAACATTTTAAATTTAAGAAAAAAATTATTTAAAATTAATAAAAAAAATTAAAAACAATTATTTTGAAAAAACGGACAAAACATTTGTCACGGAACGAATCCGTGACAAACATTTTAAATTTTAAAAACATAACATAGATTACATCCTTCAATCTTTCAACAGATACCGTAATATATACTGTGACTGAGTTGAATTGGTGTGAAAATGTTGAATGAATCTGTTCATGCATATATAAAAAAAATTATCACGGATGTTGTCACGGATTCGTCCGTGACAAACATAATCAGTACGAAATCCGTGACAAAAATCTGTGACAAAACGCAAGTTTTTTTGTGGTGATAATTGATCTGGTTCTTGGATTGCTTGTGTTCGTGGTAGTTTTGAGATGTCTAATTTAACTATGATCAAAGGTAATTGCCTTGAAACTCCCATATGTTCAGTGAAATGCTTCCCTCAGTTTTGGGTAAACTTTTCTATACCTGATAAGCACAAAAAGGATCATGTGATTCTTATAAGTCTAGTGAAGTAGTGAAGAGTACAGTGACCTTAAAGGTCTATAAGAACTCTGTGTTGCCCGTTTGGTGGTCAATGATTCATGCTACTTCTTTGGAGGTGGCCGTCTCAGAGTCTGATCGTAGGACATCTCTTGAGTCTAGATGCAGTATGTTGAAAGATAGGTGGCGAATTTTGAGCTGTTAGTTGTACTTTTAATCACAAGCCTTCAAATTGATCAACAATTTTGAATTTTTCTAGCTATCTTACGTTTTTTCTAATCGCAACATATTGAATTTTACATTATTCACATGTTCTACTTTGACTACATTTTATGGTATTATTTTACGAAAGATATTTTTTTAAGAAATATTGTTCAATTTATCTCATTACAAATTTTCAAAATCTGATTTTTAATTATTTTTTACTAATAGAGATTAAGATATAATTACGGTCAAAGACGTACGTTGACAAATGTGAAATGTTGACCGTTGAAATTAAAAAAGAATAACTTATGCACACAGTACATCTTGCACATATGAACAGCTAGCATTTGAAACTTATTTGGTTTACGGTGCCGCTCCGCCACATCTACTGCCTCCCTCGCCTTATAAGTGCAACACCTTATGCACTGCGCCACTGCCCATCACTAAGGGTGCTGCCGCAGCACTCGTAATCGCCGCAGCTTCCACCATGAGCATGGTGCCACACTGCCACGTTCAGGGCTCCCAGCCTCCCACCATGTCCAGAACCGCCATGTCTGCGGACTGCCGCCGGGTCCAGAATTGCCATGTCTCTCTCCAACTAAGCAGCATTGCCATGGCTAGTCTCGATCAGTTCTCTGGCCGAGACTGGGAGATCAATCACGAGAAAAACCGCCAAAGAGAGGGTGAAAAGAAGAAATACCGCCTTCAAACTCATATTTTCAAAGCGCACAGATATATAGATATATTTATTTACATAATACATACTTCCTCCGTTCTTTTTTAGTTGCAACATTCTTTTTTTCACGCTTGCCAATGCACAACTTTGACCGTCATTATATTTAATTCTCTATTAGTAAAAAACATTTAAAAATCAGATGATGAAACTTCAAAATGAAACGAATTCAACAATATTTTTTAAAAAAATGATTCACATACATTAATAAATAAAATGTAGTCAAAGTAGAGTACATGAATAGTGTGCAAATTCCAATGTTGCAACTATTACGATACGGAGGATAATACATCTATATGGTATACTTCAAATAATTAGTGTGTTGTAAATAGAGGTATATTGTGTGTATGTATTTTACTCCGTACTATATACAGATTTTGAACAAGCCGGGTCCTAACAAAGTAACAAGTCAGAAATCATGTATCATATCCGATCCATTTATCAAAATAAATAATAAGTTGTGATTTAGATCTAGGTAAATAGAATTAAATGCAAACCCCTATTCATTAAAAAAGGTAGATTTGGATCGATTTCGAATCTAGACCCGACTCATTAACCGGCCTACACGTTAAACTAAAAAGTGAAATAGCAAAAAAGACCTAAGAGGCTCCCCACATTTCAAAACTTCCATAGCAGAATTATAACATTGACATCACTATAGCCTTTAAAGTTATTTTGAAATTATTGGTGTCTTCATATAATCACACTGGCATATTCAAGATAAAACTCCTATTGACAAAAATAATATTGATCAACAGAAAAATGTCATCTTCACCAGCGATGAACCCTTTGTATACTCGTTGAACAAAAGTCCGAAGGGAGACAGAACACAAGCCTTCAAATTTTAAACACTATCGAATGTACAACATATCCTATTTTTTAAATTTTAAAATTTCACCATCTTTCTTTCTTATTTAGATAATTTTTGTATATGAGCAAAATAAGCACAATAGAACGCGACTTAGTATCTTTTAGTGAACACTATATCGCAGTGATCCGTATATCGCAGTGACTATAAAAGTATATACTTATAATCCCTTTAGACACATTCCTCCCACAAATTTTATTTTGATAATATTTTAGGAAAAAGCAAATTTTCTTAATTAATGCCTCTTATATTTCCTTCAAGTACACTATGAATGTATTGGTAAAAAGTGGGCAATACTTATCATGTTTTTTAAAAAAGCAGTGGTAGTTTTTTATAAACCAAATGAAATGAAACTCTAAATTTACAAAATCCAACTAATCGTACCTGAATTTATTTCATGACCTTCTCCATTAAGCTAAAAGAATGGGGTTTTCAAAAAACATATTACTAAAATAAACTTATTAGTTATTTACATAAATATGACTATTTATTAATATAACGTAGTGTTGTGGTAACTTCAATTCAAAACATGAACATGTATTACTATGATTTCATTACTACTTTAGTAATTAGTCATATTTTTGTAAATCATCTTTATTTTGATCATATTTATGTAATTATTTCTAAAAGAATACAAAATGTTATAAGCTGTGTTCCATATATTCTACGCCCTTCTCGATTCAGTCTGCGAATTTTCTCTCCTTTTCACGTTTGGCTGGCCTGACTGGATTCTGTTTTACTATGTCCAAACTCGGAAGTCAAAACACAAGGGATTCAGGGTCGTAAGTTTATAATCAAAGATTTAAGTGTTTAATTTGCTAATATTCTTCTAATTTTAAACACGGTGGATACTCGTAAAGGATGTTTCATCATTTATAACGGGAAAAATGTGCAAATAGGCCCATGTACTAACTAAAAAAGGTCAAATAAACCCTTATTTAGGAGGTTCTGTCCGGACGTCGTCATTTGGGGTGGTTCTCGGTGGAGTTTTTTTGATAAATTTTTTTGATCATTTTATTCATCAAGTCTAGTTTACTCATATCAAATTTCAACTAAAACTTCAATCGGGAAGACATTCAAATGAATTCTTGAAGATAACTGCTCTTCTAACTGTGCAGTTATTTTCAAGAATTCATTTGAATACCTTCCCGATTGAAGTTTTAGCTGAAATTTGGTATGAGTAAACTAGACTTAATGAATAAGATGCTCAAAAAATTTCATCAAAAAATTCCACTGGGAACCAACCTAAATGGCGACGTCCGAACAGAGCCTCCTAAATAAGGACTTATTTGACCTTTTTTTGTCAGTACATGGGCCTATTTGCACCTTTACGGAATCAAATATTCACTATTTTTTGCTTTAGATATGATGGAATAAAGCAAAATCACTCACTAAATTGTTCATGCTTCTTTGTTATGAAGCAACATTTAGTCCATGCCATATTCGACACGATTTTCACCTTGGGTCATCCGAAAACGATCTCTTTGTGTTCTAGTACAGGAGTAAGGCTGCATACATCCAATCCCCTTACCCCACCGTAGGTGAAAGCCTTTGCGGTGCTGGAATAATGATGATGATACCCGTAAAGAATAAAAAACAAAGAATACTTCCAAAAAATGGTAATAGTATAATTCATAATATTGTCGGAGTATTAACTTTTTATAATGAAGTAATTTTAAACTATAATACTGTGTAAACTTTTTTATAGGATGTTAGGACATGGAGTACTTCAGTATAACTGTATAAGCTTATGGTTAATTAATGTGCTTTACAATTTTTACCCTCCCTTGATGTTGAACTTAAAAATGAAAGTTTTTCTACATAAATTATGGAGTAATAAACTTCAAATGCTGATTCTTATTTTCTACTATAAACTACGGAGTATTAAACTTCGAAGATAATAAGTATGCTTAAAATAGGGAGTATAAGTTTATTTCTATATCATTATACTTGGATGAACATTCATCGAGTGGGATTTGAATGATGCGTATTCTGATAGAGCCATACAATACTTAAAACTACATATTCAGTGTTTGCCGGATTAACTACATATACTTAAACTATCTATAAAAATAGTTATTTCATTATAAAAAAATTCAACATGGATCAAATGAATATAATATTTCATGTAATTTAACCAATAAGTTGCATATGAAAAATTAATCAAAGCAAATAAATTCACAGAAAATATAAATATCATTCATGATTTAAGATGGTTGTACCTTGTCAAAATTAAAACTTACACATTGGTGAAGCATGAGTTACACTTGCACATTCGTGAGGCATGACTCTTTTCTCGGGATGACAGTTTGCTATTTCCATGACTTATCAAACCCACCAGGGCACCAACCTAACATTTCTAGGTCAAGGTTAATAAGTCCATCAAAGAATTCAAGTAAATCACATCTTCAAATTTTTATGAAGACCATTGTTACCGCAAACCCATCCATCCATCTCCATTGTTTGTCCACTATCTTCTTATCATATTTGTCTTCCTTAAACTCCAAAACAAGTAAAATCTTTGAATCCTTTCTTGTCATAAAGCCTAATCTTCATACTCTGTCTCTTCATCATCGTCGTCATCATCATTGTTACCCCAATACCTCCATCCATCTCCAACATCATCTCTCTCCTCCTCTGTTTCTTCACTATCTTCTTCGTATTTACTTTCATTGACAGGCCATGGTTTTTTCGCTACATTCAGATTGGCCTGAGAGGCACCGGAACTTTTTCGGTGTGTCGGAACTTTTGAAGGAGGAAGTTTCAAATTGGGCTTTGTCCTGCTTTGTTTCTGAGTCTTTCCGTTTCCATGTCTCCCACCACCATATGCTTCCTTATCACTCTCTTCGTCCATCTCATTTTCAACACCAGCTGAAGGACCAACACTAGGTTGAGCATTCTTGGCATTATCATCAGGGAAATGACCCGGATGTTCTTTCCTTAAATGAAGATTGAGTTTGTATTCATGGATGTAAGCTTTATCACACCCTTCGTAAGGACATACATAGGGACGATCAGATGATGATGCGTATGCTCCTGAAGATTTTGGTGTTTTGGTTGGCTTCTCTGCAATAGGAGTAGGCTGGGGGGCATACCTTGTCACATCTGGTGTTCCTTTCTGCATAAACATAATAACATATTACATTTTGGAGGTGAAAAATGTCTACTTCGTATTATATAAGCTAATAAGCACTCCTGTTAGATACTGTTTCTAAAACCTCATTTGGCATGGCCATTAATGACTGAATCTGGTGAATGGAGATTGAAATTATATTTTATTTGATTTCAGCTTTCGGCAAAAAGAGTTGCTCATGCACTACTTTTTTGTCATTATTATGAGCCAATATCGTCTTCACAATGAAAGAGTTTTGGAAAAAATGGATGATAAACCGCAAAAAGACATACAAAACGGACTCTAGATTTAAAAAAAATATGTGACAATTTAGCCAGTAGGTGGTGAGTCATTTGACAGAATCTCTATTCATAAACTTTGCTATGATGGGAAAAAGAAAACAATTCTTAGCAGTAAAAAAATGATCACTAAGAAACATGAGAGAGAGAGGTCAACCTTTTGATGAGAAGTAGCAACATGATTTTTTAGCTTGTACTCATGGGCATATCTCTTTCCACATTCTGGATATGGACATATATGATAGTTTTCCTGTGAATGTGTCCTCATATGTGATTTCAGGTTGAAATCCAGTGAGAAAGCCTGCAAGCATACAAGAAAAGATAGATACACACTAGTGTTGCAATCTGGTAAAGAATTTAATGATGAAACTTTTTTATACATATTAAATTATAAATTATCTATTGAGAATATTTTCACCATCGATGCATATCATACAGCACAGTGATTGAGAAGAACCAAGGAGCATAAAACAAGATTTTTTGACCAAAAAAACAAATCGTGTTCAATTACCATATGGAGATAAAAAGAGAGTTACCTTGCCACAGCCCTCCACTGGACAAGCAAAAGCCCGCTCCCCAGTATGAATAAGATAGTGTCGCTTCAGCTTTGAACTGTCCAAAAATTTCTGCAAATTAAACTTAGGATTTAGTCAAGGAAACCAAGGAAAATGGTAATACTTGACACATTCCAAAAATATTAACAAAATAAAAAAGGAAAGACAGGAAAAAAAAGGAAAAATTGATAGTAATAATCGCAACTATTGGCGGTCCACTTATAATAATCTCAACTATCGATTATTTCCAAATAATCCCAACTTTAGGGACCTTCCGCCAACAATGGTCCGACGTGACCACCTATAAATAAATTCCTACAGTTTCTAAAATGGATGAGAAGAGATATAGCAAGTAATCCCTATAAATAATCCCAACTTTTAATTTTTACGCTTTATTTCTATTTGAAATTCTCTTGTTTTCTGGTCATGGACCATTATTGGCGGATGGTCCACATAGTTGGGATTATACAAAAATAATCAATAGTTGGGATTATTGTTAGTGGACCGACAATAGTTGGGATTATTATTTTCAATTTTTCCGAATAAAAAATCATGCATAAAAGAAAAGAAATTAAAGAAAATAATTGAAACGGGATTAGTGCATTGGGGATTCAAAAATCAAAATAAATTCAGTTGAGAAGAAGATCTAACTTGTTTTATTTAGATAGAAAAGGGAAAAACGAAACAGACTACAACCCTCACAAATTAAGTTTTGCAATGGAAAACGATACCAACAACTCCTTCAGTTCTCTGTTAAGTGTCACTATAGTGCTCTAAAATACAGGGATAAGCAATATCATATTACAAGAACACCCTAGTAGTGATTAAACTTGCTCCCTCCGGCTGAAAATCACTAGAGTCACTGTTATAGTCACTAAAGTATAAAAGGTCAATTTTTTGTCCAGTGTATTCATTTTAGTCATATATTTGTCATTATTTCTTAAATTAATCCCTTAACATCTAGTGTCCAAATGCAAACAGCAGCTGAGAATACGAAAACATTTTAGATGCACTGAAGAAGTATGTATTTTACCTTTTGACAATTCCCATATGTACAGGTATATTGTCTCTCTCCATGGATGTGAGAATGCTTCCTCAAAGCCCCAGCATCTATAAATGTTTTTCCACAGCCTTCAAAACTGCAGAGGAAGAGCACTTCTGTAGCTGGCTCTGGTTCGGTTTGTGAAACTTCTAGCTCATTTGTGTTCTCCTTCAATGCTTTCAGTGTGGCCTCTAATAAAAGAAAAATAGAAGAAAAAAACACAAAATTGGTTTAGCCTCTTTAGCTAAATAGAAAACGGTGAGCTATTGCTCAGTTACTGTTTTAAACGATGATAATCATAATAATATTAATAAAAATAATGAATTAATACTCGTATCATGGAGTAGTATTAATAATATTATAAGCATTATGCATTGGGGAAGGAAAGAAAACTAACCATTAACCCATTTTAAAACCAAGCACTTCCCACCAGTGGCTACAACATCTTGTGGCACCCTAACAGAGTAAATAGAGTTGCGATTAACACAATTCAAACCAGAATCTCTTCAACAAGACACAAATGCTAGATATCACTCTAAGATCACCAAATACATGGAATTATACTGTGTCGTAACTAAGGGCCCAAAATTACAATTGAATTGTACTTTGCACTGTTGCAGTTTATGTGGTGCAGATGTAATTTGCGTGTAAATGCATGATAACAAAATCTAAGAGATTACTAAGAAAAACAAAAACAAATCGGAAAAGCTATATATTCATTCTTTCTCTAATTTGACTTACCATTCTTTGAACCATTTGGTGGCAGGAGCTCTGGACTTGGTGATAGAGCGCCGTTCGAAAAAGTTGTGAAACGCCTGAGCTTCCATATAATCACAGACGGCGGTGACTGGTGAATTGATCCTGTTTCTTCTCTATAATGAATGCTCCGAATTAGGGTTTGGAAATTTAGATTTCGATTTTCAGAAGAATCACGTATCGCGTAGTAGTGTACTTGGGTTGGTAAATTCGAAGTACGGATTTCCTCTGCCATTAGAAGTACTTCTTTCGGACCGGCTGTGCTTGGAGAAGAGCGGTCCGGTTCACATGTTTCTTTTACTTGCTCCGAGAAGTTATGGGCTAAAAAGAATAGAGCCCATAGTCAAAATCTATTAGTAACATCTAATAGAATTAATAATAGGGTTATTCATGTACTTTACATTAAACTCTTTTACTACGTAGTATAAATATATCTGACAGGGATCCTTAGAGACTATCATGTTTCATTATTTCACATGGTATCAAAGGCACAACTAAAAACCTAAAAAAAAGATTGGTTCTTCTCTCTCTACTTCCGGCGCCGCAGCATGTCCTCCTCAGCCTCCAACACTTCTGCCGCGATCGGCTCTTCTGCAGTGCCTTCCACGACCGCGTCTTCGGCCGCCATAGTCTCGTTTGCAGTGGCTAGCACACCGTTGACAACCGGCACTCCTCTCTCCTTCGAAACGCAGCCGGTCCTCAGTTCCGTAGACTCCAGCGTGACCTTCTCCTCCAACTTTGCATCACCAAGTCGACCTATGGGAACGTTCTCTCTCTTTCAGAATCCTCCATCAGCGTTTCCATGGACGGCTTCGACTCCGGTTCAGCCGGTACCCTTGGATCTGTCGCCTTTCTCGGCCGGATCATTCGCTGGACCCACGTTCGTTGGCTCATCGGGAGTGTCGTCCACCTTACCACCTCTTCGGACCACCGTGGGCAGCAATACAGGGTCCCCTCTAGCAGAACTCGCTCGAACTATATCTCATGTGGCCGCCAATGTCACTAATATAGTTACCACCAAGCTTCTTGTGGTAGAAGATTACACTACTTAGAGGACCCAGTTTGAGTCTTTTCTTGTCTCGCAAGGTCTTCTTGACATGGTGGATGGCTTCATTCTGGTACCTCCTGCTTATTCCATAGATATTCTAAACCGTCTAACTCTCAATCGTGAATTTTCAATTTGGTTGTGAATTGATCAAACAATTCGTTTGTGCTTATTTGCAACCCTTTCTCGGGATGTTCTTATTGATGTTCGGGATTTAAAACATTCTTATGAAATTTGGGAATGGTTAGAATCTCTATTTATTTTGGCTAGTTTAGCTAGAAGTATGGAATTAAAGTGTTTGAACTCCCAACTTAAAAAGAAACATGAACGGTCCATGGATAATTATTTCCAGGAAATTAAAACTTTGGTTGATGATCTTGCTACGATTAATTGCCCTGTGCCTCCTCGTGAAGTGCTAAAACTACTACTATGGGGTTGGGATCCCAATATGAATCTTTATTCACCACTGTCTCCTTATTCCCTCAAAATTTCTCGTTTGAAACACTCTGTAATCATCTTCTTAAGCAAGAACAACGGGTACTATATCTCCGTTCCCAGGAGTCCTCTTTTATGCATCAGGCGTTCGCCGCATCTGCCTCGTACTCCGGCCATCCAACTGGCCAGTAGGCGGGCAAACCGCATCAGGTAGTTCAGCCGTCGGGCGGCCAGCAGCAGCAGGCCTGGTATCCGGGACAACAGCAGCCGCAACGAGGCCGTGGTCGCGGGCGTGCTCTGATACCATGTGAAATAATGAAATAGGGTGCTCTCTGAGGAGCCCTGACAGATATATTTATAGTAAAATAATGTAAAGTACATAAAAAACCCTATTATTAATTCTATTTCACCCCCTCAATCTGTGTGGGAGAAACAACGCGCATGTTGTCCTTCAAAAACAGAAAACGGTGACTAGGAAGGCTTTTAGTAAAAATATCTACCGGCTTTAGATGTGTAGGAACATGTCTAACAATCAGATCTCCATGAGCAACACGTTCCGAAACAAAATGATAATCAATCTGAATATGCTTACTTCGAGCATGTTGTACCGGATTTGCAGTCAAATAAGAGGCTGAAATATTATCACATAAAAGACGCTCAGATTCCGTGATGGGGTAGCCGAGCTCGAATAGAACAGATCTAATGTGGAGTGTATCTTGAAGTGTGTAGGCAATAGCACGATACTCAGCTTCGGTGGAGGATTTAGACCAAAAAATACAGCAAACCCTATGGTGGAACGAGAGCTATTAGGACATCGAGCCCAATCGGCATCTGAGTAGGCTAAAATGCACGTAGGTCGGTTAGAATGCTGAAGCCACAACCCATGATCTCGTGTCCCCTGCAAGTACCTGAAAATTCTTTTGACTTCAACTCTGTAAGTAGATGTGTAGTTCGGGGGGCATGCATAAACTGAGACACTAAGTGTACTGTTATTTGTAATTCTGCTATGTCGCATTTAAATATTAATGCATTACCAGTTTCGTTTACTAACTTTAGTTCCACAGTCTTGCCATCAAATGGGGGTATTCTTAGGCCTTTTCCACATCCTATTGTGTGTAAAATTTGCTTTTCTGCATGTCATTCTGCTATCACATGTCCATATCGTTTCTCTCAGCCATCTGCTCCTGCTCTGTTGACAACTCCTGGTGAATCTAATCCAACCGTATGGTATCCTGATTCGGGAGCTTCTGCTCATATGACTGCATCTGAAGGTATTTTGTTTAATAAATCTGTTTGCAATGGCTATAATTCTTTTAGTGTTGCTAATGGTGCGCATTTACCCATTTGTCATGTTGGTGATGTTGCATTACCTTCTTCTGGTCGTCCTCTCACATTAAAATCTGTTTATAATGTGCATCAGTTAAAATATAATTTAATTTCCATTCAGCGGCTTTGCGCAGATAATAACTGTACTGCTATTTTTGATAAAAAATTCTTTTTTGATTAAGGACAAAGCCTCGGGGCAATACTTCTACGAGCTACCAGTAGTGGGTCACTCTATCCTATCGGTCTGTCATCACATCTCCATCATTAGTTTTAGCTTCTGTTTTAGCTTTTGCCCCTGTGTGGCACTTTAGACTAGGTCACTATGGCGACAGTATTTTACATATTCTCAAGCGAAAACAATTCTTATGTAGTGATTCTCCTTTTACTCATGATTGTGTGGCTTGTCGTTTAGGAAAATCACAACGTTTGTCCTTTGTGGATGCTAGTCATAATTCTTCTCTTCCATTGGAAATAATTCATTATAATGTATCACAATCTCCTGTTTGTTCTAATTTGGGGTTCAAAAATTATGTATGTTTTATTGATGATTACTCTCGTTTTACTTGGATTTATCCAATGTGTCTTAAAAGTGAAGTTTTAAGTGATGGGGTGGTGAGTTTGTTAATATTTCAAAGTGATGGGGTGGTGAGTTTGTTAATCATAATATGCAACAATTTTTCTCAGCTAATGGAATTTATTTTCAAAAATCTTGTCCCGACACAGCTCAACAAAATGGGGTTGTTGAGAGAAAACACCGTCATCTACATGAATTGACTCGCACTATGCTTCTTGAAGCCTCCGTTCCGAGTCAACATTGGGTTGATGCAATTTTTACTGCTGCGTATATTATTAACGGATTACCTTCTCCTACATTGAACGGTCTGTCTCCGTACCAAAAATTATTTCATCGTGTTCCGGATTATTCATTTATGCGTGTTTTTGGCTCGGCATGTTACCCGAATTTTTCAGCCACTTCGGCTAATAAGCTTTCACCCCGATCTGTCCAATGTGTTTTTCTTGGCTATGCATCTGGCTACAAGGGCTATCGTTGTTTTGATCCTACCACAGGTCGCGTTTATGTCAGTCGCCATGTTAGGTTCCATGAGGATATTTATCCCTTTCAAAGACTTAACAAATCTGGTTCTCCTCTTCCATCTACTTCCAACCCTTTCCCAATGCACCTTACCGATGTCTCAACCGAACCTATTGTTACGCTCCCGGCTGGTCACCGGCCATCAGCTCTAGACTTTTCACCAGCCCGTCATCCACCTACCCCGCTGCATAGTTCCACACCGTCACCTCCCTCCTCTCCCTCCTAAGAGCATCTCCAATGCTACAATGTGCACGGTGCACATGTGGCATGAGAGAGATAGACACAAAAGATTGATTTTGTGACATTTCTCTCTTTGATCTGTCTTTCCACGGACTTATGTGTTTTTGGTAAGTTTTTCTCTGCAATGTGAACCGCAATGTCTACATCTAGACATTGTGTTTGACGTTGTGAAGAAAAACTTACCAAAATGACTATCTTCCATGTCACGTATGCACCGTTAACGTATTAGCATTGGAGATGATGCTCTAATGGTCTACACCGTCTTCCCGGAGCCAAACTTCTCCTTCCTTCTCAACTTAAGGTATAATTTGATAACAAATATTATATTAATAATAGGGACAACTTAAGGTATAATTTGATGTGCTTATCAAGGGAGAGAAGAACCGGCCATTTGATGTGCGCCGTATTTGAAATGTTTACGTTTATTCTTATTTAATTTAGTGATTGTGAATAGTAATTTGGAGTGTGAATAATTATAACTTAATTAAATACTCTGATAACTCCTCATAAGAGAAGGTATATTTCAAATATTTTGTGGCATGATAACATCACTAAAAGAGGAAGATGCAAATTGGAGTCTCCGAGTCTCACTCAATCAATGATGTTGACATTATCTTGAACATATATTATTATAATTTAGAAGGATATTCCAAAGAAAGAAGGTCATGTAATACCATTCAATAATTATTCATCAAGTACTAAATCAAACATTTAGATTTATAAAGCTATGCTAAGGACGTTTAATTTTAACATAAGTGAATTTTTGTGTATAATTTATAAGTCTTCAATAGACTCGAATCGGAAAAAGTTAAGATTGATTTGTTAGTGATACAAATTTGATCGTCTATTGGGTATGTAGAGAGAAAAGGTCATTTGTGAAAGAAATGTTGGTTGAAAAACTTATCGTATGAATATAATTAGCTTCAACTTTCTCATTTTGTTATCGTTATCATGTCTAAAGAAATTCCCGAACTATACTAGATAATGTATACTGCAAAACTATTCGTGATTTTAATTCCAGAAGGAAACTAGATAATGTATATTTTGCAAAATTATAAGTGATAATAATTCCCAAAGGAAACTATATAATCGTTTTTTACTCCAGGGGTTAGGGAGGGCCTGGGTAAAATGAGGTCAAACTTAG